CAAGCAAAATCCAAACACCTTCTCGGCACGGGGTATCACAATATTTGGACTGCATCGGGACCATTCGTTTGGCGTCGGTCGATGGGCGATTAGAAAATCTGCAGAGGCTTGTCCATGGGTGGAGCTTGGGCGGCCGTAGGGGGTTAAATTGTGGTGATGGGTCATTCCGGGGGGTTTACATTCAGTTTTGTTCAAAAATTAATAGAATTTCATAAGCTTTTTCGGTTGCATCTCTGTGCTGTCTCTTTCTGTTCGCCCCCTCCCAACCATTTCATGTACAGGCTCTGCCAGTGGCGGGCCTGCACTGCTCTCTCTTGTCCGTTTCTCTCTGTCGCACTCTGGTCTGCAGTTGGCGCTCTCTCTTTCCGGCGCTTGCAGGTCTATTTGTTGGCTCGCTCTTTCAAATGTTAATTTGAATTTTTATTAGGTTTTAGGCATGCATTGTTGTTGCTGCTCTGCTGCTGCTCTGCTGCTGCTCTGCCGCTGCTCTGCTACTTCTGCTGTTGTCATGCATTTTATTTTCACTTAAAATTGCAATTGTTAGTTGTGAAGAGGGGGTGAAAAGGGGGGCTGCTGCTGGCTGCGCTGCTGTCATCGTTGAAAGTGCGACTGCGTTAGAAAATTGCATTTGATAATACTAAACACACACTCACACACATGGCAGCACACATAGAAATCAGTTTTTTTTAGGTCGTGGGTTGGGCAACGGCAGCGGCGCGACAGAGGCAGCGGCAGCAGCAGCGGCAGAAGAAAACAAAATATCTGCGATGGTAACAGTAAATGTTTACGTTGTTGAGGTGGTCTTGTCTTACGTTATTTTCTCAATTTCTTTGAGGGAAAATGTCGCAGAATTGGGGGATAATCTTTCATCAGTGTCTCTGCATCAGGTGACACTTTGCTTGTGTTACAATTAGTAATCGAGCTAATTTATATTTTTAAATTAATTTCTTTTATTTATTATTATCAGTTGTTTTATTAAGTATCAATGTTATTAAAAACACCAAAAGAATATTATTTAAGAATCGAAATTTTTCGATAGAGATGGCGAGAAGGATATTGTTCAAGGCCACAGAAAACAGAGACTACACCTATAGGATTATTTTTTGAATTGTTGTTCAAATAATACTGTACTGTAAATGAATCAATAAACAGCGGAGAAATGTACTCCTTGTCTCTTGAAGAATATTTTACAATTATCTTTTCTTTTTCATTTACCAATCGCAAATATTATGATGAAAATATTCCAACGAATTGATGGCAGAGTTGCTGCATGCCTCATAATGGTAATCCTTGGCTCCTTGAACAATATTTTTTGAAGGATTTTCTTTAGCAGGTAACATTGATAAAGTGCCACATCATTCAACTTCTTAGCCGCCACCTTCTGCGTTAGTACCATCCATTGCATTTTTTGTGCACTTTTTTTTTTTTGGAAATTTGTGCCAACTCATGAAGCAATCGCGACTTGTCCAAGGCGCCGCCGGTTGAGTGAAATTGCTTGGCACAAAGGAAACAATTGAACCGGTCGGGTCCGCTGTCCCCTCTCGGTCCTTTCTTTCAACGACCGACTTCTTTGTACGAGTATCCTTCGGTTCTACACTGTTTTTTTTTTCTCTGAGAGCGGAACTTCAATTACACATTTGCTCACATGCGAAGCAAACACAGAAAAAAAATGAAAAGTCACTGGCCTGTCAGTAGGAGGAGGACGGTCGCAATCCAAATCACATTTACCGACGGCTTTTCTTGCCTTCAAGCCATATCTTGCCATATCTTTTGGCCACTTTGAATGTTGCTCTTTTTGCGTTGTTGTTCTTCAAATTTGATTGGAATTACGAGTATTGTGGTCTGTGGGTCGACTCGGTGGGTCCTTGGCCACATCCTCCCACATTGCGGCTAATGGCAGTGGAGCATTTTATACCCTTTTTCGCAGGCAATAAAAACATTTTCTTTCTTTCTTTATTTTTTTTCTGTTTTTTGGTTTGGTCCACCCACAAAACAAAAATGAAATAATGAATAATATGAAGAAAAATACTTGCCTTGGTGTTGCTTCTGTGTGTGTTTGTGTGTGTGTGTGTGAGGTTTTTTGTTTTGCTCCTGTTTCGGTTGTGGAAACAGAAAACGCATTAAGTGCGCGGTTTTCCATTGTTTATAACATTTGTGCCACCCCGAGAAGGCAAAGGGATAATTAAGAATGCTTATTTATCTAGAACGCAGCCACGGCGCCGATTGTCCAGTTCCCCCCTACCCATACCCATACCCATCCCCATCCCCGCATCCTTCCATCTGCATGACCGCAGGGGGGCAAAACCCCATGAAAAGGTTCGTAAAAAAGCCAAAAAACTTTTATTTTTTTTATGATAAATTGTAAGGGATTGTGGCAATAGAACAGGGTAATGGAATGCCATGGCATGAAACGGCTGGGGATGGTACTAGGGGGTAGAAGGCGCCAGCCAAAGGTCACGAGATGTTTGGACCTGAGAAAATGACGATTGAGACATAGATATGCAAGATGGAATGGTACATGAATATTATGGCATCGCTCTTGCGAACGGAATGGATCGGAGAAGGCTGTAATCGAATATAGCTTAAAGTGCTGCTAATCAATGGATCATAAGAATCGTTCAATGCCAACTTTTTGAGAATATTCAATAACAGTTTCAGGTAAACTGCAATAAAGTTTAATGGAATGTAACTAAATTTATTGTAACCCAATGGAAATGGGCTTCAATTAATGGTTACATTAAGCTTAGACACACATTAATTGAACACAATTGGATTGAGCACAATTTAATTAAATTAAACTCGTCTGGGTTGAATCAGTCATAAAATAATACAGGAACCTAAAGTCTCAAAGAATTTAAACAAGTAATATGTATTAGGTGTATGGTGGAAGTCAGCGCTGCTCCTTTTTAGCGACTTTGAGAAAGGTCTTCTGGCGGACTGCAGTGCACAGAAGGAGGCCAAGAGACCTTATAAATCCCACCACAATAAAATCAATATAATAGAACGAGAGGCATCGTGCAATTGTTAGCAATAAAAAGGCATAAAGGGGATCAAAGCACATTGAAGTCTGTACACAAATGCAGTTCAAATGGTTTTAAACAGGATTAAAATGGAGCAATCGGAATTGAATAGAGAAAAGAACTGTGGAAATTTCTACGACTCCGACAAAAAGAGGTGCAACACGGATTGAATGTACGATTGGCATATGGCACATAAGAAACTCTTCGAATCGAGCATGGAACCACAAGGTGGGTTACATTATCTTCTACCTAAGCATCTAGGTAAGGCAGGTTGGGTGCACACACACATTCGAGTGGTAGCACCCGTCAAAAGGTCACTTGTTCTTCGGACACCTATCCACATCACCTATGGGCTTCAATCATTGAAAATTGCTGCTTCTACCCAATATTTTCTCCGCTAATTAGCTTGGCCGAAAGTTGGCGAGTTGAAAATTACCCAAGCACCCAAGCAACCGAGGAACAATTTTGGAAACGGAGCTGACGCTGACGCTGACGCTGGAGAGCCCAATCCAAGCCAAGCCAAGACGATGGCGGTGCCGTTGGGCAGAGCAGAGCAGAGCGAGGTAGCGCACACGCAAATCACTTGTTTTTATGTAATTAACTGCCTTGGCCCCCTGCCATAGCCCCCTTGGGTTAACGGAGCCTGGGTCTTTGGGGTCTTAGACGGGGTAATTAACCAAAAACCGATCGCTTCTTACACCAACAAATTCCGAGTTTTTTTGGCATAATTTCCAGCAGCAGTCGGTGGTGCGCACCTTTCGGGGTTTTTCGCTTGGAAATCTATCTATCCATCCATCTATCTATCTATCTATCTATGTATCTATCAGGTCGTTCAATGACCGATAAAATTGCCTCAACCGTCGCGACCAACTCGACCGACTCAGACTCAGACCCAGACCCAGCATTGCCTTTTAGCGGGTTATTGATTATTAATATTTCTTCTTCTATCCCTCTGGTTCTGTTTCTGTGTCTTGTGTATTTTTTGTTGTTTCTTTTTTTTTGTTTTTTGGGTAAGTTGTTCCCAAACATTTTTTACCATTTGCTGTAATTACAGCGACGCGTTAATTGTTCGCCTCCTCTGCATTCTGTGTGCCCCCTTGGTTATATGTACGTACGTACGTGCGGCGGCTTCCCTACCTCCTGGTTTCCATGTGTTTCCACTTCTATTTGTGTTTGTTTTCGATGCTGGAGTCGACAGCCCAAAGACAACACTCGTCGCGGTGAGGAATCTACACTTACGCGGTGTTCGGTATCGAAGAAGACCCCCGACCTCAACGCACACTCAGATTCCCAACTCCGAGTTCGACTCCGACTGTGACTCCAACGTTCATTAGCTGCTATTACCATTATTGCCCATATTGCCACTGCCAAACCGTGCCGTAGCGAACCCAAAGAAGTTTGGCAATTACTGCACACAAATTCCCCAAAATGCGGAGATTTGATAAATGGATCTGTGCCACTGAAGAGGACACCAGCCCAGAGTGGGCCCCACAGATCCATCATAATCGTCCCTAAATCTAATAGAAACTTTAACGCTTGTTGTAAGCCAATTTTGGTAAGCAATAAAACTAGCTTAACGATCATTGGGAGAGATCGCCAATAAAGATTATGGACATCAGTCAGATTTGTTAACCTACTTTTTGTTTTGGAAAAAAAACAAATCTAAACATACTCGTAGAATTGGAAACCAATCGGAAAAATAAGATCACTCTCCTTACGTTGTAGGCAAGTACTCGTACAATCGGACAGACACGGTACTACTAAGGGACATGGTCGAAGATACCATGGGGGCAGCTGCTAATAATAATTTCTTTTGCAATGGGACTGTACTAAATTAACTTATATAATTTGTTGCCAAATTATTTGCTCAAATCTCTATTTAATTCCCTGCCTAAATCTCTACAACTAATTTTGTAGCCCAAGTGGTGCAAAAATTTTTAACTAAAATGCACATGTAGTCGACAATGTATTAAAACTTACCGCTGGCACTGTATTGGCTCCTTTCCTTCTGTTATATTGACTGTGATCGGTAGTCACAATTGCATTCACCGTTTTCTTTCGAAGCACTTGATGTTTTGGTCACTGGGGGGAAATGGTGGTGGTCGTTCGATCACACAATTGTATAATTTGAACACTTTTGAAACACGAGCGTTATTTTGCTTGTAATTTTCTTGTAATTTTGCTTTATGGTTTGGTGTGTACGAGGAAGGGTAGCAAATAGGGTTTATTTCTCTTTTATAAAATGATTAGACACGAATTTTTGCCGATTTAGAATTTAGTTTTGATTTCAATGCGCTGGGGGGACAAACACTGCACAAACGGCAAACTGTAAAAGGAAATCGAGGAATGAAATCAATGAGAGACACCAACAAAACTTTGACAATTTGGTCAACAACAGCAACAACAACAACTGCGAATGACAACAACAACGACAACAACCAACAAACGAACGAACGGCATTTTCATGGATTTTAGCGAAAAGCACATGACAAGAACAACAACAACAACAGCAAAGGAGTGTAAAGTTTATGGGAGATATGACGACTAGGGGATACCTGTTATTCAGATAATTTGTTGGTGCAGAGAGTGGAAAGTGATCTAATAGGAATCCATAGAACACTAAAATTATAGTTTTTCTTTATTTGATATATTTCTTAAAGTGTCCGTGATCTTTCTGCTCCCTCAGCCACACACCTAAGCCTCTGTTTCCCACACGAACGCTATATACCCTCCGCCGCATCGGCAATTGCTGGGTACAAAAAGCACCGAAATGCAAGCAATGACAGTGGCCGCAGCAGAGTAGGTAACTCTTTGCTTTGCTTTGCTTTGGTTTGGGTTGCACTTTCGGCTTTTTGTTGTAGTTGCTTTTCCGCTATTTTGACTTTGCCTTTGATTTTGGCTTTGCTTTTGTGTTGGTGGTGGTGTTCGTGTTCTGGTTTATGCCTTTGATTCTGATTCGGATTCAGATTCAGATTCGGTTTGTGAATCTGGTTCTGGCTCTGTGTGTGAATTTCGTTTCGTTTCGTTTTTATTAATAAAATGCACAACTTCCGTTATTAATTTTGCAACGACAACAATTGCCGCTGGCATGTCGCGCGCTCGCTGTCTCTCTCTCTTTCTCTCTCTGACACACTCTCTCTCTCTATTTGCTTCTCTGTCTTTGTGTTGGAACAGTAGACGACAGCCGCTGACAGACTGACAACAAATACAACAAATCCGTGACAAGCTTTCAGCGTGTGTGTCGCCTACGGACGGGTGATGGGGCCGAGGGGGTTTCCCTGCATCGACGGGGGCGACTCTAGGGGACACAAGTGCCTGCGACTCCTTTGCACGCGACTCTCTAGCGCTCTTTCTCCCTCTCTTTCTGTCGCGCTGCATTCATTCATAAAAATCAGGTTGTAAAAAAAGAAACGCACAGCAACTGGGATTTTTATTTATTTATGCCAAATTGCCGACGCTTAATGACATTCGTTGTTGGTGTATTTGCAATGATTTGTTGCAGTTGTTGAATATTTGCAGTAATTGTGGTTGAATCATTTATTTTGTGTTTGCTCTTATTGTTGTTTTTTCAGTAATTGTTGTTGAACAGTTTTTTTATTTTCGATTTTGTTTGTTGAATGTTTTTTGGTTGCACAATTAGTTGAGTATATTTTTGAAATTTGCAGTGGGATATAAATTGTTATTTAATTTGTTATTTATGTTTTTCGTATTACACAATTATAATATACTTTAAATTGTGCATTGAATTAGAAAGAGTTTTTCCTGAAATCCAATAGGAAATCATTTTATTTAGATAAAATTTCGGTTTGTATTTTCACTGGAAGTCACTTATTGTTTGTTTATTTATGTCGAACATACTCAAACTTCAAAGTGCACCTAATTCGTAATGGAACCCTATTTAATATAGTTTTTTGTTATGCAGAATTTGATATTGTAAATGCACTCAAAGCCCAGGAAGACAGTATGTTGAGATATTATTTTGTATCTCTAATGTGAGCCTATCAAATATTGTTTATTGAGTAAAAACTTTATATGTTCAACGACAGTTTAGTTGCCATTGTTGTAAGAATGTTTCAATAATGTTGTTTATTTAGTCAGAATTTTGTATTGTATTTATTTAATAGAGAGTTGCATTTTATATAAAATATTTTAAAATATAGTTGTTTTTAGCTGCAATTAGATATATTATTTTCACTGATTGTTTGTTTAGAATTAATTCTGTATTTTGTTTGCACTGGTAGTTCTTTGAATTTTAGCTTTGTTTACTTATTATCTTTATCTAGAGGTTCTTTGTATTATTTTGTTTAATAAATTTGATTTTTGTTGCGAGTGCAACTTCAGAAAACGTGCGAGTCCAAAACCAAAACAAATGCAAATCACAGTTAAAAGGGAAAATCGGAGGTAATGCCGCACTTGAACCTGCCCGTCTGATTGCTGGAATTTTACTCCGAGCGCGTAATAAGAATTCTTGTTTCGAGGCGGAAAAGTATCTCGCAGATATGCGGTGTACTGTATGGGTTGCATGCCAGCCGATGGTTCGCTGCGAGCGTGTTGCGTCGAACATGTTTGTTGGCCACCCGCATGACGTTGGTTGGCTTTGGATTGTTTTTTGGGATTTTTTAGGCCCGAACCGACCAGACCGAACCAGCACGCACACACTGACACGGCTGATGGCCACACAGATACAATAATATCTTTGAATGGACAGCAATCACGCACACATAAACAACACACACACACACACACACTCACATCCACAAAACGACTATTATCTAAGCCACACAATCAGATTGTGTGCTTACATTTCCCGACTTCGACTCTGACTCCGACTCCGAATATGAGTATGAGTATGGGTACGAGTACGAGTACGAGTACTCGTATGTGTGAATAAGATTGCAGAGTTCGGAATGAAGAAAGAGTCGACCAATTGAAATAAAGAATTCTTTTGGCCATAACTGAGGAGAGGAGCTAAGATATTTCAAATATAATATATGGGTATATATGAACTAAAATTTCTCTAAATTATGATCGAAAAAAAAAAAAACAAATTGAAGAAAATCCTACCGTTTGCTTCGAGTATGGAATTATATAAAATAATTGCTTATCAAAAATTAACTCAAAATAATCTCAGTTGTATTTAATTTTCTGTCTATGTGGGCAGATATGAATGCACATAAAATAACAATAAATTATAAACCTACACATTGATTGTGGAATTTCTTGGTTTGTGCGTGCAACTTTGGCTAGAACTAAACAAAATACGAAATGCGAATACAGCAACCATTTTTGACGAATTTATATATGTAGTACCAAATCACAGAAACTAAAATACTTCCTATGAAGTTTTTTATTGCGCCTAGAGTATTATTCCAAATCCTGTCAAGCAATTGATATTTTTAGTCAGGTGACTCTCCCTCTTATTGCTTGATTAAGAGTTTATCATACGATTTCTAATGCAGTGCCTGATCCGTAAATTATTTCAATCAGTCAGTGGAATTTCCAGTACGTAAGTGTCGAACGGATTTCAATAATTCAGTGGCTATAATGTAATATTGCAATGGAAATAGAAATTGAGTTGATTAGAATGAGTAATATGATACACATTGCATTAATATTCTTGGCACGATTGAAGAACATGTGCTTTAATCTGTGATAAGAAATATATATACATACATATGTAAATAGTTATGGGTACTTTGGTAGATATATCGATGATAAGATAAAATATTAAAATAATTCATAAAATAATTTTAATTTAATGAATTATTTTAATGTTTTATCTAGTAATTTGTAAGTTTGGCCATAAAATGGTACTTGGAAATCGATTACTACGACGGATAACTGAATAATATTTTCCTTTTTGAATTGAGTAATTGAATAAATCTGAATTATAAAGTGAAGGACTGACATACAAAGAAATTTTTCTAGTCTGCGTATTTAACAAAAAAAAAAAATGGCCGATGGATTATTAAATTTAAAGTTTACTTTAGTTTGGATAATTAAATTAAAAGTTTACTTAAAATTGACATTTTTTAAGATAATTAATAGAATATATTAATTGTATTAGCTATAAAACATGTTTTAAGAAAGGCTGAAAATCATTAAAATATAATTGAAAAAAACTTGTCTCTATTATTATTATTATTATGATTATTATGTTGCATTAGTATAGATTTAATTGAGGAATGACTTGAAAATGTAGGTCATATTTCTAATAATACTTAATAATAGTACTCGTATTTGATTTATACGATACTTTCCCCTACATGTGTTCTATAAAAACCACCAGGAATTTCTTAGGCCTAAATCTTCATCGAGGATTGCAGATAAATTATAGTACACACTATATATAATAATTTCAGAACTTCTCCACTAAACATATCCACACATATAGAATATTATTCTATACTACTATATACACTTTTACCGCACTATAATCCCCCCGTCCCATTGCTTACAGCAGCCGCGCCACCGCCCCTCCAGGAAGTCATTAAGCTTCTGGAGGTTGGAATAAATAAAGTTTCACTGCCACTTTCGGGGGCTGGCAATGGGGCTGGCTGGAACGAAAGCTATAATGGCCATGGGCATACCATGGCAGATGCAACTTTATTGAACGCGACAAAAACAAAATAAATTTACGCGTAAAAACACTCGAAATACAAAAACATCGAAATTGTCGCGTCGCGACGCTGCAAGCGATCCAGCGATCCAGCGATCCAGCGATCTTATAGATGCAGGCTATCTAGAAGATGCAACGATGCTAAAGATTCCAGGCAGCAATGGAGCCAGCACCAAGTTCGCGGCAGGCGGCGGCTAATGTATCTAATAGATACACGACAGCATGTCAGTCGCTTGCAGTGGAGCGAGTAAAGGGAGACGACACCCGCGAGTGGGAAAAGCAGGGGGGAAACTGGGGTGTGCTGTGGCAGGGGAAGGTATGATACGATTCCGTTCCGGATAGCCCTGTAGATCTGTGGGTGAGGTATGTCTCTCCCATTTAGACTTCTGCGTAGGTACCTTGGAATACTCTCGGGCTCCCATCATCTGTGTATCTGTGTACCTTGGCCTGCTTCTGCTTCTGCTTCCCCTTCCCTACTCCCTACTCCCCTTTGGATGGTCTGCTCCTCGTGAGTCTCTAATTAACATTGGGATTGTAGTACACTTTTAATTTATATCTTATTGATGCCGGCGACATTTGTATTTATTTTTACCCGAAACTTAGTGGGCTTGGGGAGGGGGGAGGCTATGGGGCTGGGCGCTATGTACTATCCATAGATTCAAGATTCACTTCCCCGATCCGTGTGTCTGTCTGTCGGTCTGTCTGTCTGTGTGGAATGTTATTTTTATCGAGAGTGTGGAAGGAAAGCTAAAATTTATATGGAATAGGTGTCGCGTCTTGGTATATTTTTGGGGTATAATTATTGTTAATATTTGTTGCTGTTGATGCTGCCCCATGCTCATGCCCCCGCCATCCACCCACCACCTGCCCCCCTTTTCAGCTGTCTCTTCCGTTTGTTGTTGCTATTTTTTATCTATACTCTAATTAAAATATTCGGTTGTTTTGTGCTTTATATTGCTATACGAGTATTCAGTCGAGTATATAGAGACAAATACTAATGCCACGATCTGCTGTCTGGCTAAATGTCTTCTGTACACATCTCAATACTAGTCGAGAGAAATTGCTATGAAAAAAACAAATAAATAAATGAATAAATGAAATGAAATGAAATGAAATGAGAGCAACAACAATTGCCTTCGTGGGTGGTTCACGTTTATTTTTAATATAAAAAAATAAGTATTTTCAGGTTGATTTTAATGTCGCTTCTCGCTATGACATCTGTGCGTGATTATGACATTATTTTGAGTGGTTCGCGCAGTGTTTGACAATTGTGGAAAATGTATTTTGGCATCTAGGTGAATCTTAGATGTTCGATTTTCAGTGAAGATAAAGATTCCAAGCCCTGTTGCCTATTTATTAAATCGAATCATTTTCATTGTTAAAAAAATAGTTTAATAACCAGAACTTGATTATTCAAGGAAATTCAGACCTTCTCTGTTTTATAAAATTCAAAATTGAAAAAGAACTTGTATGCAGAATCTATCAGATTTCATTTCAGTAATCAGATCTAGCCTATTCGATAACCTGTGCAGACTTTAAAATATGTCAAGGTGTCAAGGTAAAATATGTCAAGGTTTTAAACTGTTAGGAGTACTTTACTGAGAGTTAATAAATATATTCTTATTTAATTAAATATGAAATCGAAGAATTTTCTATGCTATAAAAAGAGTTCTCTAACCAGTACTCGATTCTTCTTTGAACTTCATACTTTCTCTGTTTTATTAAATTGAATTAATCACATTTCAGTGATCAGATCTACCCTCAGATATATAAATATGTAGTAGCTATTATGTAGAGGATACGAGTGTAAGCCCTGCGCATATTTCACGTACCTCAGCTAATTGAGCCCTGCACTCAATAATTAGGCAACATCTCAGCCCAACTCTGTGGCCCAACTTTTCCCCAAATGTTTCGATTTTTCCCATTTTCCAATGGAATTTTCTGTTTGTCTTTAATGGAGTCATCTGCGATGGGTACTCGAGGGCCTAATAGGGGGATATATCAGACAAAGATGCGCACAGATGAAGACACCGATCGGTTGCTGGGCGAGTGGCACACGAGGCAAATGACATTTCATTTATCTTGAGGCTCGTGCAGCAATCGGAGGTGGGTTTTGGGGCAAGGTAGTGGAGCTAGGCAGCCTATTGCGTTGGCGACCAGCATTCGATGTCAGCGATGAGTTATGGACACTAGCATTGGGCCATGTTTGGTGCATTGGGCATACTCGTAAAGCTCTCAGTTCCGGTGATCTCCGTCTGCTGAGTTATCAGTGTGAAAAATAGAAACATGATTATGAAATTATCAAAAGAAAATGTCTGTACAATGTGCACACGTGAGCAGTCTGTGGGGGATGGAAAGCACCTGAAAAGTAGAGAGGCAAACTCAGGCACAAAGAGAGAGAAATACATACATATAACGAAAAAAGAGAGATCTATTTTGATGGGTGGCGCTTTCGTTGGCTTGAAAGTACCCCACGGCCTTAGATTGGATGGAATTTATACAGCCAACGGCAGCGCAATTAAGTTCAACAACAACAACAACAACAAAACTACTACAACAACTAATCTACAGCAACAACAACAACAACAACATTCTGTAATGTATGATCCGTCCGATCCGTCTATCCAACATGAACCTGACTGTGGCCACACACGCAACACACACAGACGAATAATGAATCTCTTCTCTCTCTGTGTCTGTCCATGTCTTTCGCTCCAACGAACGTGTGTGGACAATAGAAACGATCGAGGTACATCTGTACATACATGCAGCAGCGGCCATCAAAATAATACTGAAAATATATATTCGGATGAATTTT